GGAGTGCAGTGGCTGCTCCCGGCCACCACAGCCTTGACCTGCTGGGCTCCAGCGATCCTTTCACCTCCGCCTTCCAAGTAGCTGGAACTACAGGCGCGTGCTATCATGCCTGGCTAATTTGTTTGATTTATTGTAGAGATGAGGTGGCGCCAAGTTGCCCAGGCGGGTCTCAAACCCGCAGGCTCAGGCAATCCACTCACCTCAGCCTCCCAAGGCACGGGATTACAGGCTGAGCCACTGAGCCTGGCTAGAGATAATCTTATATATCTTATATAAAAACCAAAAAAACTCTTTAAACTGAATAACAATTTAAACAAAGTTGCAGCAGGATATAAAATCGACAACAGCATACAAAAAATAGCATTTTTACACCAACAATAGCTGAAAAAGAAATCAAGAAAGCAATCCCATTTATAATAACTACAAAAAAAAACCCTAGAAATTTAACCAAAACGATCTCTACAATGATGAAAAAAAATTTAAAGAATATATTAAAAAAATGGAAAGACATCCCATGTTCATGAACTAAATAATTAACATTGTTAGTATGATATTACTCAAAGCAAACTACAATCACTGTCAAAGTAACAATGACATTCTTCACAAAAACAGAAAAAAATAATCTTGAAATTTGCATGGAGCCAAAAAAGAGCCTGAATAGCCATAGCAATCCTGAGCAGTAAGAACAAAGCTATCTAAAACAAACAAAACTATCTGACTTCAAAATACACTACAAAGTTAAAGTAACCCAAACAGCATGGTACTAGCATAGAAACAGACACATGGACCAATGTAACAAAACAGAATCCATAAATAAACCGCATATTTATAGCCAATTGATTTTTGACAAAGATGACAAGAACATACATCAGGGAAAGGCCAATCTCTTCAATAAATGGTGCTGGGAAAACTGGCTATTCATATGCAGAAAAACTAAACTAGACGCCTATCTCACCATATATAAAAACCAACTCACATCAATGGAAGACTTAAATGTTAAGGTCTGAAACTCTGAATCTACTAGAAGGAAATAGAATAAACAGTTCAGGAAGAACAAGTATGTGAAAAAGAGTTCAAGATCACTAATCAAGAAAGTACAGCCATGAAAAAATAATAAAGACACCAAGACATGTAACCAGATGAGCACTGTTACAAGTTTTGCTTTGGAGACAGTCTTTGGGTCAAGAGTAGTAGACAATTCTACAGAACACAGTTTTTTAATACTTTACAGTGTTCCCTTTCCTCCAGAAACACCAAACAAAATGACTGGCCAGCAACGTAACACTGACAAAGCATAATTATATTTAGTAGTTGCTTTTTTTTTGTGTGTGTCTGTTGGGGTCTCATCTGTCACCCAGGCTAGAGTTCATTGGCACTGTCACGGCTCACCATACCTCTACCTCCAGGGCTCAGGCAATCTTTCTGCCTCAGCCTCCCGAGTAGCTGGAACTACAGATGCTCACCACCACACAGCTAATTTTTAATAGAGACAAGGCCTTGCTATGTTGCCCAGGCTGGTCTTGACCTCCTGGGCTCAAGCATTCCTCCTGGTCTTGGCCTTGCAAAGTGCTGGGATCACAGTCGTGAACCACTGCTCCTGGCTTATATATATAGTAGTTTCTAAATGTATCATAACAAAACCTGTCTTTTAATCATCTAATTGCATATCAGGGAAGGTCCAATCAGGAGAGAGAAACCACAGGGTGATTTGAATGGGGAGTTTAATATACAGAATTAAACTCTTAACAGGGGATGGGAATAAAAGGGAAATAACACGGAAGTTAAAAATTGTAGTAAAGAAAACCCCTTTCTTCTACAATGCCTCTCTAGTACCCTCTACTCACAGACCCTAACAACACAGCAATTGGCAAAGAAAAAAATATTTAAAGGTTTCAGTTCCATTTTCACACAGCATGCAATGAAGGGCGAATTTGAAGCTGAAAGGCAATAAAGTGATACTGGCACAGGGAATAAAACTTTTGTACTGAGTATCTCTTTCTTGACTTAACAAACAGAAAATAATGCAATAATCACACACATTCAAGACCACTGAAAACTACTGTTCTACTTACCTCATGTGTATATACTCTAATAGGTATTCCAAAAGCTCTGGCAAGGCCAAAATCAGCCAGTTTAATTGTTCCTTTGTCATCAATCAATAGATTTTGAGGTTTTAAGTCCCTGTGAAGAACTCTTCTAGAGTGACAAAACACAATCCCCTGTAGGATTTGGTATAAATAACTCTGGAAAAAAATATATGTTAGAAACTTAGTCATATCATGTATAATATTCTAAATAATCCATTTTATTTTAAAGATATAAGAATTAAAAATGCAGAGAAATAACTTAACCACCAAAGTTCATTTTAGACTAATAGACAAGAATTTGTAGGTGGGAAGCCAGGACATACAAGGAGGAAGACCCTAAAAAACTGGAATTTATTTACAAAAAATTGTGTATTTATTCTTTCATGTTCAAACTTCAGACACCTTCAAAATATCCTCCGTTTTTGAACTCGTCAATTTTGGTGTTTTTAGTGCTTCTCCTGTTTTTGTTTTACCTATTCCACATCGGTAAAATGTTTCCCTTTGAGGACTTTTTAATGCAGGCAAACAGAAAAAAAAATTACTCAGAGTAAGATCAAGCAAACAGGGAGGGTGGGGCATGGGGGTCATGTCATTTTTGGTCAAAAACTGAATAATCAGTGCAGTGAGGGCAGGCGAGTTGTCATGATGGAAGAACTAATCACCTGTTTGCCACAACTCGGAACATTTCTTCTGCAAATCATGATGCAACCTTATCAGTTGGTACACTTGATGCTGATGAGTTCCTAGAACACTCACCTCGCAGGGGAAGCCTATACTACAAGGGGCCCACTCTCCAAAAGATAATTCTGGGGCTTTTTTGGTCACCCCCTCTTATCTAAATCCATGTGAACTCATTTAGTCTTCTTTTACTTATTTTGATCCATAAGTAACAAATAGTTTTCTATAAAGAAGCTTCCTGAATTTTCTTCCATGTACTTTTAACACAAAACAACACTATTGTTATCTTGAATAACGTTGGTTTTTTGTTTTTTTTTTATGAGTTAGGGTCTCACTCCATCGCCCAGGTGGAGTGCAGTGGCACGCTCATGGCCACCCCAGTGTCAACCTGCTGGGTTCCAGCGATCCTTCCGCCTCAGCCTTCCAAGTAGTCAGAACTACAAGCGTGCAGCTACTACGCCCAGCTAATTTTTGATTTTATTGTAAAGACGAGGTCTCGCCAAGTTATCCGGGCTGGTCTCAAACCCGTGGGCTCAGGCATTCCACTTGCCTTGGCTTCCCAAAGTGCTGGGAATACAGGCTGAGCCACCGGGTTGTTTTGGCTTTTTCTTCAACCTGAGTAACACTTCTCTGTCTTCCAGGCCAAAGTCAGTTCATATGTCAGATAACTTGCTCCCTTTCCCTTTCACACCTCTCCTGTCCATCATTTTTAGGTGCTCACTGACACAGGCTTTTTCCTCCATCTATTTACAGGAACTTCGCTTATACCACTAAGCCCCATTGCTCAACTTTAATGACAGAGAAGTAAAATCTCCACCTGAGAAAGAAACTGCATGGCCTGGATATGAGAACTACAGGTCAATTAGGAACTAAAGTTAACTATTAAAACAAATATTTAATACTCTTAAATATTTCCCATTACAATATATCATTATCATCATCATAAGGAGATGCTTATTTCTTTCTCAGTGCCCTTCCACTCTTCCCATGGTCTTACATGCCCTCCAGATTCTGGATTTTCTAGCTGTTTTGTCTGTTAAAAGACAGTGTGGAAGGCAGTCCACCTGTTGTTTGCTTGGAATGCAGGAAATGAACATCACACCATATGGGCTCTTTAACACGCACCCACATGGCCCCAGACACAATCCGCAGATTATCTGGCAACTATGGGCCACGCACCACTGGGGTGGCTGCTTCACTTGGGAACGACACATTTTCTTTTTGAGTTAGAGTCTCACTCATCGCCCAAGTTGGAGTGTAATGGCAGGCTCACGGCCACCCCAGCGTTGACCTGCTGGGCTCCAGGGATCCTTCCGCCTCAGCTTTCCATGTAGCCAAACTACTGGAACACGCTACAATACTGACTAATTTTTGCTTTATTGTAGAGACAAGGTCTCGCCAAGTTGCCTGGGCTGGTCTCAAACCCATGGGGGCTCAGACAATCCTCTTGCTTCGGCCTCCCAAAATGCTGGGATAACAGGCTGAGCCTTTGAGCCCGGTCAGGTTGGTCTTTTTTATCTTTCAACTTTACATATTTATTTCCGTATTGGAAATATTGATTAGATTCCCAAAGAAATGTCAGAGGACATTATGAATTATACTCATTATATAATTAAGTGGAAACAATTAGTATATAATGCTGCTTAGTGGTTCAGAGATAAGTGGTTTACAACGTACTTGTTGCCAAAGACAATGTAATTTACATTTGAAGTAACAGATATTACAAAGATATAAACTATATGTAGTAAAATATTGACTTAAAGTTTGAAACTGGAAGACAATATAGACGCTCAATCCCAATAAATCCATCATAAGTTGAAAATGCTGTAAGTCAAAAATGCACTTAATACACCGATCCTACCAAACACCATAGCTTAGCCTATGCCACTTTAAACATGCTCAAAATACTTGCATTAGCCTCCAGTTGGGCAAATTCATTGAACACAAAGCCTATCTTATAATTGGATCTGTTTCCCAGTTTTTAAACCAAAATAATTCTTGATCCATCCAAGATTTTTTTTTTTTTTTTGAGTTGGAGTCTCACTCTGTCGCCCAGACTGGAGTGCAGTGGCCGCTCCCGGCCACCGCAGCCTCGACCCGCTGGGCTCCGGCGATCCTTCCGCCTCAGCCTTCTGAGTAGCCGGAATTACAGGCGTGCACTACCACGCCCGGCTGATTTTTTTATTTACTGTAGAGATGAGGTCTCGCCAAGTTGCCCAGGCGGGTCTCGAACCCGCAGGCTCAGGCAATCCGCTCACCTCGGCCTCCCAAAGTGCTGGGATTACAGGCTGAGCCACTGATCCTGGCCCCATCCAGGATTAAAAAGTATGTGTGAGAGGAACCTATTAAAACTACCAGAAAAATAGTCATGTATTATTCTAGTATATATGATCTTTGACAGGGGAAGAGTTAAGCAAGATATAAAAGCAGAAAGCTCAAAACTCATACAAGATCGTTAAAGACAATATCCTATTAGAAAAATCAGTGGAGAATATGTATAGACTGTTTATAAATGGCTAAGTATGAAGTGTCAAATATCATGAAATATAAAATTAAAATATTAATATGCCTTTTTATATTATAGATTGATAAAACCAAGTTTTGACAAAAGTGTTCTAAAACATTAACTGTTAAATGTTATGTGTGTTTGAGAGTAAATCGCTACAACTTTTTTTTTTTTTTTTTGAGTTGGAGTCTCACTCTGTCGCGCAGACTGGAGTGCAGTGGCATGCTCCCAGCTACCCCAGTGTCGACCAACTGGGCTCCGACGATCCGTCCACCTCAGTCTTCCAAGCAGTAGGAACTACAGGCACGTGCTACCACACCCAGCTAATTTTAGATTTATTGTAGAGACAAGGTCTCACCAAGTTGCCTGGATGGGTCTCACACCCACGGGCTCAGGCAATCCACTCGCCTCAGCCTCCCAAAGTGCTGGGATTACAGGGTGAGCCACCAAGCCCGGCCAGCTATGACTTTTTTAAGAGGGAAACCGGCAATATCTATCAAGATCTCAAGAGTAAGAAAATAAACATCTTCAACCCATCATTCCAGTTCTAAATATACATTCTGCTAAGCTGCATACAAAGGTAAGTATATACAAGGACATTCACCGTAATATTGTTCATAAGAGCAACAAAAAACAAAGCTGGAAAATAACTTACAGGTTCATCAATATGATACTGGTTTAAATTATATTAAAAACGTAAACAGACACAAGTAGATTTACATGCCTGATGATTTACATATTTTATATGTCAGTACTTTTAAAACCTCTTATATACATATTATATACATTTTTATAATTTAGCTGAAATATAATAAGGTTTATGCCAGGCACAGTGGCTCACGCCTGTAATTCCAGCATTTTGGGAGGTAGAGGTAAGAGGTTACCTGAGTCCAGGGGTTTGAGACCAGCCTGGGCAACTTGGCGAGACTTATCTCTACAATAAACCAAAAAATTAGCTGGGTGTATTGGCGTACGTCTGTGGTTCCAGCTACTTGGAAGGCAAAGGCAGACATACCACTTGAGCCCAGCAGGTCGAGGCTGCCAGAGCCGTGATGGTGCCACCACACTCCAGCCTGGGCAAAAGAGTGAGACTCCTACTCAACAAACAAACAATCCATAAATTTATTTTGTGTGGCTGCTTTTTAAAAGCGCTTCCTTGCCACTGCACTCCAGCCTGGGTGACTGGAGTGCAGAATCCGACTCAATAAATAAATGTCCACAACAAATTAACCAAAACATATCCAAAACCAGAATGAAACAACTTGCTACCATCATTCTGCCCAGGTTTTGGTACTTTGTTTTACACATATTTAACAGCCCAAGAAAGATAAGAATACTCTATTTTCCAACAGTATAATATATATTTATCAGTTCTATGTTATCTAAGGCACTACTTACTTTTCAACTTACTAGAAGCACTAGCTGGTAATAAAATGGGTAATTCTAATCTACATAGACTAACTGTAAGGCAGGAAAATGAAACATTTCTTCCTCATTCTACTTTCTAACACTTTTCCCAAGCATATTGCCACAAAATGCAGGGGTTTCTATGTTTATATATAGTCCCTTTACATTCAGTGAATAAATATTAGTACAATTAGATAAGCTTCTTACCTTAACAAGTGAAGAATCCATGAACTGCCCAGGAGGAATAGAATCCAAATATTTCTTGAGATCCATGGAAAGAAATTCAAAGATGAGATATAACCTGGAATCCTGCATAAGCACATCCTGAAGACTGAAGGATACAACATTTATATGAAAAAAAATCCAGCAAACATTTTGAAACTCTTTCACAAAATAAAACTATTTCCATATATTTCAAAGTAGCTATAATAAAAAGTAGGGAAGAAACAGTGGCTTCCCTAGTAGAGAAAACCTTAACACAAAACTAAAACTTCAGAAAGGACTCTCAGGAAAGCAATTCAAAATTAAATCTTATACAGGAGGTGCAAACAACCTGTATTCCAAAAGAAGAGTCCTAGGTTGGGTACCAATTGCTTAGAGCTTGTGTTTTCATTGAAGTAAATTACACAAATAAATTTTGAAGTAGTATCTGACCTTAACAGCTGCTCCCTATCTCCAGCACCAGCCAAATACAATTAGATTTTAACTTGATCATGAGGAAAACAGCTGCCTCAAAGCACCCAACCCAAATACTTTAAGGAAAAAAAGGTTTTTCTTCTTAGTCATCTGACCTGGCTACCTTTGTTAGAAAGGTCTTTAGGGACTAGAGGTCCCAGAATGGGAGACTTGACAAAGTTCTATATGCAAAAAGTCTCCTTTTTTTTCATGGCCAATTGACCTTGCTTTTCCAGCCCCAAACACAAATCTCTACATCACCAAGCTCCTCTAACAGTTACTGCTTTTACAGCTTATTCTTTTATATATGCCCAGCATTCTCAATGAACAAAGTAGGGCTCTATTTTACTCAGCAAATGTAATTTTAATCAAGCAAATGTAAAATTTCCACAACGAAATTCAAATTTGAAATAGCATGTGTAGAAAATGGTTTAAATTCATATATTATACTATACCTGACTATATTTGGATGACGAAGTTCTTTCAATAGAGAAATTTCCCGAATTGCCGTACTAGGAACCCCTTCCTCTTCACTTTCTAGTCTGATTTTCTTCATGGCTACCACTTGACCAGTAGTTTTGTGTCTACCCTTATATACAACTCCATAGGTACCTGAAACAAAGTAAATATCTGCTATGTGACACACCCCACAAACTAAAAAATTGTAAGATTATTGAATCCCACAAGGCTTCACATGATAGAAATGTCTGCTGTGGCAAGTGGGGAATATCTTACTCATAACTATACCCTCATTGATTCCAAAAAGAAATTGAGGATAACTACAATCCATCATGTATATGGTTTAGAAATAAAATTCATGTAGTCATCACAAATTTCCTATACATTTAAAATAACATTAGTGTGCCAGCACATTTTACAAAAGAAAATATACATCTTTTTGAAAACTGAAATTAGCCTGCCAAAAATCTTACCCAACAATAAAGTAGGCATAAACTATAGTAAAAAGATTTGAGCTCAGTAAACACTGACAGGAATCACTGTGACACTATCAGAAAATTCCATAGAGTACTATATGATTTTTTTTTTTTTGAGTTGGAGCCTCACTCCATTGCCCAGGCTAGAGGGCTGTGGCACACTCACAGCCACTCCAGCATTGGCCTGCTAGGCTCCAGTGATCCTTCCACCTCAGGAAAGTAGCCGGAATTACAGGGGCAAGCTAATTTTTTGATTTATTGTAGAGATGCGGTCTCACCAAGTTGCCCTGGCTGGTCTCGAACCTGTGGGATCAGGCAATCCACTCACCTTGGCCTCCCAAAGTGCTGAGCCACCGAGCCTGGCCCATGATTTTCAAAACACTTTTATATATATATCTCAAAATACAAAGTCAACAATCCTCATTTTCAAAAGAAAGGAGATAAAAAAAGACCACATTTGTATTAAATACTTATTAAACCTAATAAAACTCACATTATGTACTACAGATTAGGAAAGCCTCACAGCCATTCAGAAGTTAATGAAAACACTGATTCTGATATATGAGCTTCAGGTAATAAGCAAAATGTCAATATAAGAGATAGTAGGGGAGGGGAGAGGGTGGATACAGGAACCAGGAATGGCAATAAGGGAAAAGCACTAGTTAGCTAAAACACATTAAGCACATGCAGCCCTGAATTTCCTACATAAGTGCTTTTGAAACTTGGGTTGGAATATAGGGAGGTCCTGAACCCCTTAATTATATATACAATTTGGTTAAATAGCTTTTGCTTTTTGTGATATCAGTTTAACTTCAAAAGCGATTAGATTGTATTTTTCTAAGAAGTTCTATTCTATAGCTTTTGAGTTTCTTCAAAGGCAGCAGTATTTCAAAAAAGGCTAAGAACCAGTAAAAAATTCACTGCTTAGTTAGAATATTAAGCAATTTGATTAGTGGTAATCTGATGTTATATAAAGTTTGTACTAATTTTTTTTTTTTTTTTTTTAAAGAAAATGTAGCTGGGTGCAGTGGCTCATACCCGTACTACCAGCACTTTGGGAGGCAGAGGCAAGAGGACTGCCTGGGCCCATGAGTTGAAACCAGTCTGGTCAACTTGCCAAGACCTCATCTCTACAATAAATAAAAAAAAATCATCTGGGCATGGTGGCACATACCTTGTAGTTCCAGTTGCTTTGAAGGCTGAGGTGAAAGGATCACCTGAGCCCAGCAGGTCGAGACTGCAGTGGCTATGAGCGTGCCACTACACTCTAGCCTGGGCGAGAGTGAGACTCCGATTCAAAAAATGTCTTCCTAAGTAGTGTTATTATTTTAAAAATATAATTTGACACAAAACCATTTTATACTATTCTAATTAAATGTTGGATTAACTCGTGACTTTGGAATAAACTAAATTATTCCATATTAAAGGAGAATTGACAACATTTGATCCTCATAGTAGGTAACCTTGTATATACTTAAAATGTATACTTTTTTGGATGTAAATTATACTTGCGTTAAACACAAAAGTAGGCAAGTCAGTAGCACAGAATTTTCAGAATCAGCTCATAACAATTGTTTAAATGGTGGCCAACACTCAATACTTACTGAATTTTAGAGATCAAGTGCTCTAAGTCTTTTTCTGACTCAATGAACCACTATCATTTCTCACTGAACTACTAAAATAGTGGAATGATTCTACTGGCTAATCATCAAAAATTATTTGTGAAATATATGGTATCAATGCTCTGAAATGAACTAAAAATTCTAACGGTAGTTACATTTTAATTAGCTTACTAAATAACTAAGCTAAATAATCATGTATATGGTTAATAATATTATAGAACTAAAAATAATCATTTAACATAAAGTCTCGAAAGAGATCAGTCTAAGACTAACAGAAGTAGGATACGGTCAGATTATGGAAGACCTGAAGCAGATATCTTTCATTCAACAAATATTTAGAGTGCCCACTAAATGCCAGGTAAGTTTCCATCACTAGGATATGGCTATTCTCTATTATCTAAAAAGACATTTTCTTAAGACAAGAAGGAATTCAAAGACTAGCTGGCGACACACAGATTTTTGTAATTCATAAGGATCCGAGAACTTCTTAATAATTTAAATAGGCAAAGTCTGGATGTATTTAAGAACTGAATTAGGTTGTCAAAACACTGTCAAGAGAGAAAAAAGACAAAGAGGCATTAACTGCCAAATTAGAGGCATGACCTCAGGTGAATTTTCAGAATATACATGCGAAGCATTTATGGGTAAAGAGCATCTCTACAACTCACTTCAAATGGATCAAAATTACAACAACCAGTTGTTCTTACCAAAAAGAAATAATAAATGACATGATGGATATGCTACACTAACTATCCTAATTTTATTCTCATACAACACATACTTGTATCAAAGCATTAAATTGTACCCCATAATATGTACAATTACAAAATGTTAATTAAAAAATAATTTAAAAACAGAGAAAAACAGCCGGGCTCTGTGGCTCAGCCTGTAATCCCAGCACTTTGGGAGGCTGAGGTGAGTGGCTTGCCTGAGCCCGCGGGTTCCTGACCAGCCTGGGCAACTTGGCAAGACCTCGTCTCTACAATAAAATTTTTTTTTAAATGAGCCAGGCGTGGTAGCATGCGCGTGTAGTTCCAGCTACTTGGAAGGCAAAGGCGGAAGGATCGCCAGAATCCAGCTGGTTGATGCTGGGGTGGCCGTGAGCGTGCCGCTGCACTCCAGCCTGGGCAACAGAGTGAGACTCCAACTCAAAAAAAAAATGGAGAAAAACAAAATGGTACCACACACAAAATACCCACACACATAATTTAAGTATAACAAAACACTGACATCTTGGTAAAAGTATTATAAGTTAATTGCACAGATCTTTCAACTTATCTGTAAGTTTGGAAATGTCCAAAATACAAAGTTGAAGGAAAAACATAACTTTTAAAATAGTATATTATTACTAGACTTTAATCAGATACCTGGTAGAAACAGAAAATTCTGTGTGGATATCATCTAAGCCTCCAATTTTTACAGATTAATTTTTCAAAAACAATATCCATCATGCAATCCACAACAACCAGGCATTCAAATAGCAACTAAAACACAAGCCAGAAAAAGAAAAAACAAGAGTTTAGAAAAACAAACAAAAGCAGGGCATGGTGGCTCATGCCTGTAATCTGAGCACTTTGGAAGGCCAAGGCAGGAGGATTGCTTGAGCCCAGCCTAGGCAACTTTAAAAAAGAAAAAAGAAAAACAAGAAAAGCAAACAAGGCAAACAGATAATGCTATTATTAAATATCTGAGTATCTCCTGTGGGCTGGGCACTATTGCCAGGCAGTGGGCAAATAGTTGTTTTTTTTTTTTTATGAGACAGGATCTCACTCTGTTGCCATGACTAGAGTGCAGTAGAATGAACCTGGCTCACTGCAGCCTTGATCTGGGCTCAAGCCATCCTGCCAGCTCACCCTCCTGAGTAGCAGGGACTGCAGACGTGCACCACAATGCCTGGCTAATTTTTTTATTTGTTGTTGAGATGAGGTCCCACTATGCTGCCCAGGCCGGTCTCAAACTCCTAGGCCCAAGCAATTCTCCCACCTCAGCCTCCCAAAGTGCTGGGATTACAGGCATGAGCCATCACGCCTGGCAAATAGCTAACTCCCAGTCCTCATGGAGCCTACTGTAAAGAAATTAAAAGGGATACGAAGGATGATGCAAAGGGAACAACAAAATGCTTTTGATCTAGAGCAAGGAGATGACAAGTGAAGCCAGTAGAATGGTTTCCAGGTAGAAAGACCGGCCTACCAAAAACCCATATGCCAAATCAGAGCATATTTGAGGACATCAAATCCAAATTAGAGTTTTGTGGCATTAGATGCACTGGTAAGGGAGCTATAATGTAAAGGAAATTATGCAGACAGTGGTCAGAGTAATAATACAAATGATTAATATTTGAAGGCTTTCTGCATTGAAGCATTCAAACAAATGCTTTTCACACATTGTCTCATTGTATAATCATCATCTGTGGTCCGTTCAATTACTCCTATTTGCAGAGGCAGAAATTGAGTTCCTGAGAATGAAGAATCCTAGAAATGAATGGGAGTCTTCTGATTCACCTATATATATGTAATGGACTAAACTTAAAATTACATTCTTAACTGTTCCTACTTTGTTGTAGCAATTAAAATACTTTTCTCAGGAGTCAAATCTGTGGTCTCCCTTTGTTTGGAGTTCTACAGTTTTAAAGAAAAATACATCTATACTTTAAGACTGCCTCCTTTATGCCCAACTGAAAAATGAACTCATTAAATTTTCTAACGATTTAACACACGCACACACACTACAAAGCATTAGACATGCTAATCAAACTTATTTTTAATTCAGCAGTAAAATTCACTTAATAGAAAGGTCATAAGTGAACTTATTTTTTTCCAAAAAAAAAAACACCCATAATATACTTCCAACCCAATACCACACTAACTTGTCATTCCTATCTTACTAAATTCCCTTCAGTAGTCCTCCCTTTGTTTTTTCATATTCCTTGTTCAGTAGGGTCTTTGAGCATACTAAAAAGAGAGTTGGGAATGTTCTTCAAGCAGAACATATATAAACTAGACTCTATTAGCAAATTATGTTGTACCTGGAAAATTGAGACTACCAAAACTCCTACATATAATCTTGGATATTATGATGGAATAGAAAACAACAGGAAAAGGGATTATGCCATGTAGAGCTAAACATTCTTTAAAATAGTACAGAAAAGGGAATGAATTATATACAAAAGTTATGGTTTTATAATAGCTTACATGTACACAACAGGTCATTTATACCTAGGGTAAATGAGTAGAAATCTTATTTAAATTAGTTTAATAGTCAATTATTGTAACCAGTCTAGAAAGTTCAGGTAAGTTCAGTTAAAATATTAATCATGCAACATATTATGAAATTAGCATAATACTCTGTCCCCTAACACATGTTAGTGTTTTCGAAACACAAGTACTGTTTTCAATGTTTAGTATCAGAAGAATGTAAGATTATGGGGGTATGACTCTGGGGGGAAAGTCATTATGGAGTCAGAATAATTTCAATCCTCTTAAAATGTGAACATTTTTGTGCTTAAGTTATAATTGTAAAGTATATATTAATGCACATTAGTATTACAAGGGTTGAGCTTTAATATTTACATGTGTTGGCGTTACAGAATTAAAGTGCTGTTAAATCATTTTGAAAACATTTATATTATTAAAACCACTCACCTTCTCCAATTTTCTCTATTTTGGTATAATCTTCCATGTTTACTCAATCAGTACGTATAGTAGATCCTAAATGAGGGGCAAAATTGATTTGATTACATGACACTAACTCAAAGGGTAGTTTTAAGTACTAATGAGGTACTATTTGTAAAGCATTTTCCACACTGCCTATTGCAGTATCTAGTAAGTATTCCGTAAACATTAGTTATTATATTTGAACAACATTTACAAGGGTAAAGAACTCCTGCTAATAAAACTTTCCCATCCATCTTGGTGCCTAAAACAGTGGAAACATCTACACATTTGGTATTTGTGTAGTATTAAGCTTCTTCCAATCAAATTAACCCTCATATTTGGACATCAACTTGTATACTCTTCCCAAACAAAAACCATAATTAACTTCTCTGTATTTGATACTTTTAAGTAGTACCAGTGTATGCCAAATTTATACCCAAATATTTCAGCTGTACTGCTGTACTGTATTAGATCTGTACTGCTTTGTGCTATTTTAAAGACTATGCAAAACACTATTTTTTAATGATGATGAGATAAATAAAATGTGTTTGGATTGTTCACTCATTAGAAAGATTTTGTTCAAAGCAGCAAAAACATTTTAGTGTTTACAATTGCTCCATTTTTAATCTTTCTCCTTTGTTTTAAACAACATACTCAAGACTTCAAGGTCCTTTTTTTGCAAGAGTAAGAATTATGAAGCACCCTAAGAGAATGAAAAGTGCAATTTCACAGATAAAATTCCAATGAAACCACACATAAAGTCAAGAACGAAGTAGAAAAACTACATTCGTGAATCACAAGGGATGGTCAAAAAGAGCTGACAACCAGATGTTCAAGACTTCCTCAAGGTGGTAAATTTAATGAGGAAACTTCAGAAGCCTGAGCATAATTACTTTGATTTTTCTAATACACCCATCACTGACGATAAAATATTTATAAAGGTCACTCCGCCGCGTATTTGACCCATTAAATTCTAAATCTCACATTCATCTTCAAAGAAAAATGAATCTACAAAAAAGTAGAGATAAATCTTCTCAAACGAACAAAACTGCACTACACTGGTATGAGTGACAACCTTAACAATTTGTAGCCTATGAAATGCCAGGAGACAATCTCCCCCCCACCCACCAATAACCAGATTGAGTAGTACCTAAAGTACAACAGTTGAGGTCTGTTCAAACAGCTAAAATTTAGCTCGATTTCAAAGCTGAGCTCAATTACCCTCCCACCACTTTCCAGCGGTGACAGTCTTAAAGGCTGCTGCTTACTAGCCGCAGGATGTAAAACACCAAAGGCTTCATCACCCCACCCACAGGCCCTCTACGTCTTTACAAAACCTAAGATGTGCAAACGAGTGACTTGAGTATTAGACTTAAAATGACTGAAAGACATTAATACACACATTTCCGTCTCGGCATTCTTAGTTTTTCACTTTTGTGTGTCTGTGTGCCAATACCATGGTATACAGATGGCAAGTATCAAATAAAAAGGAGAACATCCGGGTTCCATGGTGGCTCAGCTGAGTGTTCTTAAAGCTCCAGGTGAGCACAGGTACGCCCAAGGTCCACGAGCTCATGGGAGGGGTGTCTCCAGGCGGCCTGGGTTTAGGGTCTCGCTTTCCACCCCCGCAGTCAGAGGAGAGAGCGCGCAGGGAACCGACCTAGGATTAAGTCAGGTGCTCGGCGGGCGTGCTGGAATGGATTCTGCTTCGTCCATTACCCGAAAGAACAGACGACCTCACCTCCTGACTGCAATCCCGAGGGCAGGGCAGCCCCAGTCCTCCCGCGTGTAACCCCGCCTGGCTGGGCACCCCGAGCCTCCTCGAAAGCTGGGCCCGGCGTGGCTCACTCGCCCAAGCCCGAGCCCAGGTGAAGGCCCTGCTCCCTCCCCACCTCCGGCCCAGCCCTGCCCCACGCAGACCCGGGCTCAATACTCGCCCTCCAAGACCCCCGGGTCAACCCACAGGCATGACCCTGACCCTAGCAACTCTACCCGGCTTAAGATCCCGCGGCGGCCGCAGCGACAGCTACCACCTCCGCGTCGCTCTCCCCTCAACTTTCAAGAACTAGCTTTGAGGCTAAATGCGAGCAGTTTCAAACTCACCGCGCTAAAGGGTCCCGGGTCCACCAATCGGGTAGCCCGTGGACTTTCAAAGGAACCAATCAGAGCACAGCTCCGCTTGAGCTGGGCCTCCCGGGTAGATAGAGCGCGAAAGGAGGAGGAAACGGCGGCTGGTGAAAAAGCAGGAGGGCGGGCGCCAACTGAATCTGAACGCATGCGCTCTCTTTCATTCCAGGAGTGCGTCGTCCTACTGTTTCTAGTTCTCAGGAATCTACGATTCTCTCTGTTTTTCTTTTTAAATCTATTCTCCCAGAATTGGCACAATCAAAATTTATTGCATTCACATGTCTCATTAAGAAGTTATATTGTGATTACATCGAGATTCTATCACTTTCACTTCTAATATTTAAGGTTAGGTAATAGTTAATTTTTCTAAATGAGTGATTTGTGGGCTAAGCCCAAGGGACACATTTCAGGTACCTTAAGAAGGGGAGAATGGAAAACTCAAAAAGCATCCTTAGAAATGGAAATGTAAAGGAAGATTTCCAATTCTATAACAGGTAGCTGTGGTTTGTTATATCAGAATTTTAAATATTTGTGTAATATGTTTGTGTATATATATATGTATACACCTTTGGGAGGTATTTTTTTTTAGAGATGGGGTCTCTCTATGTTGCAAGACTGGTTTTAAACACCTGGGCTTAAACTGTCCTCCTCAGCCTTCGGGTAGCTGGGACTACAGGCGTGCTGCCACCATGTCCAGTTTAAATATTCTTTAAAATACAAAAACTCGCATTTGGAGAAAAAGAGATTCAAATTGCACTATAATTCAGTGTCAAAAACTCTTCACTGTCCTCCACTATATCCTTAAGAGAGATTTCTGGGCCGGCCTCGGTGGCTCAGCCTGTAATCCCAGCACTTTGGGAGGTCAAGGTGAGTGAATTGCCTGAGTCTGCCGGTTCGAGACCCTCCCGGGCAACTTGGCGAGACCTCGTTTCCACAATAAATCAAAAATTAGCCGGGCGTGGTAGCGCACCTGTAGTTCTGGCTACTTGAAAGGCTGAGGCGGAAGGATTGTCAGAGCCCAGCAGGTCGAGGCTGCGGTGGCTGGGAGCGTGCCACTGCACTCCAGTCTGGGTGACAGAGTGAGACTCCTACTCAAAAAAAAAAAAAAGAGGGGAGATTTCTAGACTGGGCATGGGGGCTCATGCCTGTAATCCCAGCTACTTGGGAGACTGAGGCCAGAGGATCGCTTGAACCTAGGAATTTTGGCTTCCGTGAGCTATAATCACACCATTGCTCTCCAGCCTGGGTGAAAGAGTGAGACTTCGCCTCTTAAAAAATAGAGAGATTTCTGCACTTAAACATCATTAAGACTTAAAAAAAAAAAAAAGATAAAACAGTAAGCCAGAACTGGAGACAATGAGAGATCTCCCTCCATTAAGAATTTCTCTTTACACTGATCCTAATGAGACATAGAACAGACTGACTACAGTGCCCTCTACGAATATGTATTAGAGACCCCAGATTAAGAGGAGGAATGGAACTAGTATATCTTGCATTTCAGTGTTTAATACCATTTTGCACAATGATCGCTATCATCTGGCCCTATACATTGCATGAATGCTTAGCCGCCACAATTTTTGCTCCTAGGCAACAGAGGAAGAGCATTTGGGATTCATGGTAGAGGTATGGATTTGCGAACTCCTGTCTGAGTCTAATAACTTTAAAAACTTACTTTTAAAATCCAAAATTCACTTTTTAAATGAAAACGGACTGCCCCAGAGAAGTACTGTAGGGATGTAGGCAGTTCTCTGCTAGTTTAGGATACCGATTTTAATGAATAAATATATCTTTCTCTCTGAGAAGCTTAAGCAAATAATTCAATTTATTATAATACGTCTAAAAGCCGGGCTCGGTGGCTCAGCCTGTAATCCCAGCACTTTGGGAGGCTGTGAGTGGATTGCCTGAGCCCACGGGTTCGAGACCCGCCTGGGCAACTTGGTGAGACCTCATCTCTACATAAAATAAAAAATTAGCCGGGTGTGGTAGCACGTGCCTGTAGTTCCAGCTACTTGGAAAGCTGAGGCAGAAGGATCGCCAGAGTCCAGCAGGTCGAGGCTGCGGTGGCCGGGAGCGGCCACTGCACTCCAGTCTGGGTGACAGAGTGAGACTCCAACTCAAAAAAAATAAAAAATAAAAATAAATAATACATCTAAAAACAGCAACAAGTTTATTGTATCCATTTTACCCACTGTGATGCTAGGTTTTTCAATTTGACTCAATGATCTTTCTTTTTAAAGTTCAGGGGTTATTGTAAATTCATATTATCCTCTTAGTAAATACAGTTCATTATCCCTTGGGTCAATTTCAATATAGTGTCTCCAATGTGCAACACTGTACTTTATGGACACAAAGATGACTAGGATAGATACAATCCCTGCTGGAAGTGTTGAGAGTGGGGTGCACAATGATTATTTAGAATTCTCTTCTGGTACTTACAATGTAGGTTTTTTGTTTGTTTGAGTTGGCATCTCACTCTGTCCCCCAGGCTGGAGTGCAATGGCATGCTCTCAGGCACCACAACCTCGACCTATTTGGGCTCAGGCAATCCTTCCACCTCAGCCTTCCAAGTAGCTAGAACTACAGGCGTGTGCCACCACACCTAGCTAATTTTTTGATTTATTAAAGAGATGGGGTCTCACCTAGTTGCCCGGGTTGGTCTCAAGAGGATTTCAGGCAATCCTCTTGCCTTGAAACTATGTTGCCTCGACACTATGTTGCCTTGGCTGATCTCAAATTCCCACCTAGGCCTCTCAAAATGCTGGGATTACAGGAGTGAGCCTCTGTGCCTGGCCTATGTTGCAATTTGTGTTATGAGGGGATATGAGAACCTAGAGGAAAAAATTACTAATTCTAACACAGAAAATGACATTTGAACACATTCTGGGCAAATAGTTGTGGAGTGAGTCTTCCAAGCAGTAGAAATTGCATGAGTAAAGTATTGAGGCCAGAAGGTCAGCCAGAGTAACTTCTGGTGCCATCATCGTAGGAGGCAGGGATTACCATAGGTGTTCAGGCAGGAAAGGGAGTTTGGAGTCAGAATCCCAATGAGCCCTGATCACTATCCTAAAGGATCTGGGCAGGAGAAGTTCATACAGCCTTGGAACCATATTATAGGAGAACTACTTTAGAGGTGGTATGAAAAAAAGAACTAAAGAGGAAAGGATGGAAAGGTATGAGTTTTAAAAAAAAGGTTTCGCCGGGGTCGGGGTCTCAGCCTGTAATCCCGTGCCTTTGGGAGGCTGAGGTGAGTGGATTGCCTGAGCCCACGGGTTCGAGACCTGCCTGGGCAACTTGGTGAGCCCTCA